GATAAATGTTTAGTCTTCTCAAGCACCAACTATCAAATATCTCTCCTGATTGTTGGCACTTGACAATCACCTTTCCCTGAATTTTACACAGGTGTAACTAAAGTCAGATTTAAGGGTTGTTTATATTTCACATCATTAATCCAAATCTGTAAAGTAACTAAAATAAATGTGGGGGGGGTACACGTTAGGACACGTTCGAGTCTTGATTTGGATAGTGTGCCGTCGGGTTTCATTCTATTTCAAAGTGCTGTTTGGCGCGTGTAAACTTCGCACACTGCCACTCCAACATACAATCACAGAGCTTGAGAACTAATCACGGGGTTTGTCAAACAGAGCACATGGTGTAGTCCTAAACGATAGCTGGGGATTCTGGGTAGTGTAGTGTCTTCTGCCATCCTTTACTCCGAAAAAATATTTGTTTCTCCGAATCGAAGGGGAAAAATACAAAAGCATTGCACACAATTTAAACCAATCAATGTTGTGTAATTAACAAGGATAATCTGGTGTTTTTTAGTCGATGAGTAGTGCAGATATCACTGTCAAATCAATCGACAGTAAGGGGAATACTTACTTCCGGGTGTACAATTCTATTATTGTTATCCAATGGGAATGGACGCTCACATTGCCTTTAAGGGCTGCCGACACAAACGAATGCCGTGCTTCCATGAGCGTCAAATCCCGCCGCAGATGGGAATACATGCAATCAGTTGAAAAACTATTTGCCTATCTCCTAGCTGAAGGAGCCTAGGAGCGTCACAACTGCACGCCACGGGGACCCTGACCAAGCGTCGCTCCTGGACGTTTATGGAGTGAGAGTGTGTTGATATCCTGTGCATTTAATGCTATATATTTTGGATGTACTGAATGTTCTTCTGGCATACAAAGTAGAATGGTAGTACAGGTACCCCCCCCCTCACAGACACTGGTCTGTTCATGTGATTTGTTGACAGTAAGAGTATTTAACATATATCATCAGCTCTATCATTTAGTGAAGTGTTGATGTAGAGTGACACACACCTTGCACACTCTTGGGATATACAGTAGGAGATAGTAGGCACACCAGAGGCTGGCCAAACAGATTAGTGAAATGCTATAAGGACAAACAAAAGACAACAAAGTCAGATTAATTATAAGAATATACATTTACGGTCAGATCATTCATTCATATACACAATAGGGTTTTTAATCCCCCAACCCAATAATATAAACATTCAGAGAATCATCAAATAAATGTAATTATTCACATTATTTGGAGTCTTCGGTGGATGTGAACAGGGAGTGCAATAATGCACATATTCAGTTGGTTAGCTGTGGGCTACAACTTATCCCCGTGGTTTTCTTTGCCTACATTTGTTCATATTTGACAAATTGATACCATTAAAAGTATGCTCAATGATTTATAAGCAAATCCTGTTTGTAGGGTACACTTGAATGTAAAGACGACTTTACTGGATTACTCTGATACTGAAGAGAACTTAAACACATGATAATGGTCAGGAAGTTTTATGGGGTAGGTTATAAGTGCAAGTAGGTTATAAGATGATATCAATGGGAAATGATAAGTCACACTGAATCTAAACATGTGTGTCAGGTCTCAGGTGAGTGAGAAAAGCTGTCGGAACATGTTTACGCACCTTGTAGGATTTGCTGTTTGTAGAATCCACAATTACAAAAAGTGGTTTCCGGGTGAAAGGGAATAAGTCTCCTGGATGAAGGCTGCAACATCACAACAGGTACATGTCAGGAAGCTTCTGCTGGCTACATATGGTTATATTATATCATTAACACTATTATTAACACAGAGTGTGGGCAGCACACATCTGACTGAATCAGATCAGATTTAGACTTAGTCCCAACATCAAACAGAATGTATTCTTGGGTTAGGTCTAAAGCAGCATTCTTCTCTTAAACATGGACACATATTCAACTTTTCGGCTTTCCAAAATGTTTCTAAATCAACATCTTTAAGAATTAGAATACATCTATAAAACAAATCAATAATCACCAGTGCATTTCTTTCTGGGCCTGATTCCTCTTCTGCACCGTCTCTCCGTTCACCACATCTCGATTTGTGTTTGTGAGAACTCCTCCAAAGTCATATGGTCCTGCAGGATACATTGAATAAGACATGAAACACATGATAAGACATAGCTCATAACTCAGTGATTGCTTTTTAAAGACGTTGATGCATTCGAATGGGCGTCACAGTTATACAGTTTAGAGGCAGTTTTATGAGAATAACCCTCCTGTTTTCTGGGCAGACTTTTGGGAGATAACATTCTGTGATTACAGGATTTAGCGCTACGATATCAGGAAAGTGTTTCAGATATGGAGAGAAAATGTTGATGATAGTTGAACCGTTCTTACTGTAACTGTGAGCCTTCAGCGAAAGTCAAAACAATCATTAACTATTTCTCCCCATATGAAGGGACATACTGCACATCTGCATTTGTACAACATCCAATAGAATTGCCCTCTTTCTGCAATGACCCGTGATTGGTCAAATGCCCTGTTGAGTGTAAGTTGTCTAAAGACTAAAAAGAGCAGAAAGATGTAGAATTGAAGCTTTCTCCCAGATCAATTGAGGTACAATATGACGAGAGGTATTTATGACATTTAAAAAAAGAAACTGCCAACCCCAGCTTTAAGGTACAACAACGTAACATTTTGTAAACTTCTGTTAAACTACCTGACCATTAAGTGGTGTCAAAGTCAATCAGAAGAACCAGCTTTGCTTTACATGACGGTCAGATCCAAGTACAGCTTCCTGACTTTATGTATGGAATACATGACATTATTAGCTTCATCATTCATTTTTTAAATCTCTTATCATCAGTGACTTCTTTTGCAATTGCAGTCTTTATTAAATAATGATTATAAGAGGGAGGAACGACCCCTCCTACATTTTTGCAGCAACTTTTCATTTGACATTATTAGAAAGTGAATTGTGTTTGTGTTTGATAAGGTCGGAAAGAGCAAAACATGAAACCAATATTTTCAGATGTAGCCTGTCTTCTATGGACGCAGCTAAGAAGCTGAATGCCGTGCCAAGAATAACACAGCACACCCATTCAGACAACCTTTGCCTGTTAAGTTGCCAATGTGAATGATATATCATTTAATATTATGTTTAAAATATACATTTGTATTTATTAATTTCAGAACACATAAGTAAGATTATGAGTTGTGTTCATTTACTTACCTTCATAATCTGAATGTCCGGTGGGGAACACTCCGGTCGCTGACAGGTAGACGAGCAGAGCGCTGTTGGCAGGCAATTCCTAAACATGAGGGCAATGAGAGAAAAGATGATTTTGCTAAGTATATTTTAGATGGAAGGGCTAAATGTACTTTCACTGCTGACATGAAATTGTTATATTAAAATAAAAGAATAATCGGCAGGAGAGAATCTAACCAAATATTGTTACCAACTATGAGAATCTCCCCCCACCTGTAAACATTTTTTCAATAAAACTAAATAATAACCTGCATATATGCCGTATCATGTGGTGAATATACGTGACAGATCGTGGTGATATTGTAAGTTTTAATACAGACCATTAACTTGAGTAGTATTTAACCCAGAAGGTTATGAAGAGCGAACACTGACCTTAAAAGAGGCAGACAGGAAGGTATAAAGCTGGCTGAACGTGGGCTTGTACAGCAGATACTTGTGAGGGTTTTCCCTTTTAGCTGGCTTCTCATTTGGTTCCTGTGGGAAAAGGTTTTCAAGAATTACTGTTCAAATTTCATTCCAACATTTCTGTATGCTTGGCAGGATGGTTAGTCTTCCGGAGGAAATGACGTGTTCTTCACGTTTATAATCCGTAATCAGTCAGACACCATTGGCCACAGTTGAGTATAAGTGGGGATGCTATATTATTTGATTTCAACCATTTTTCATCAACTTTGTTCTTTTTAAAATTAATGTATTTAACCTATTAATGCGGGGAGAGAAGAGTGGCGGCGGCAGAGCATACGCTCGTGAACTTGTCAACGGGGGGCTCGTGAAATATTACGCGCCGTTGTATGACCGGTTGTGCATGCCCACCGGCACGCTCGCGGGAGTCGTGCCAGCAGCGGAAACTAACTCCCCAGACATTTCAATGATTGTAGCGGCATAGTTAAGGTCTGGAAACGACATAAGGGCCCCGCATAACACCGGAGCCTGCTGCGGGGAAACTTTGCGGCTGTTTTGAGTTTGTTCTAATCCGTCCCAAAAATGACGTGAACTGGCTTTCAGATTTTTCGCGTCATTGTCAAAAGTAATTCGCTCATAACGACGGAATATAGTCGGTTAACGCGACCTCTGCCTCGGAAGCACTGCTGAGGGGCGCCTGGGTCACTGGCTGAGGGTCCCTGGGACACACCTGCTGAGAGGGCCCCTGGACCAGCTCTGTCTTGAGGGGCCCCTGGGACACAACTGCTGGGGGCCCGCTGGGTCACACTGATGAGGGGCCCCTGGGCGACACTCTGCTTGAGGGGGGCCGCTCGGACACACCTGCTGAGGGGCCCCTGGGACACACTGGCTGAGGGGCCCCTGGGTCATCTGTGCTGAGGGTCCCTGACACTCTGGCCTGAAGGGGCGCCTGGGACACACACTGCTGAGGGGCCCTGGACACACTGCTGAGGGCCCTGGGACACACTGCTGAGGGGGCCGCTGGGAGCACTCCTGCTTGAGGGCCGCTGACACAACTGCTTCCTTTATGAGACCTTAACAAGAAGCTCTTTGGTCGTGATACTTCGTTCGAAGTAAGCACACACGTTTGGTTCTGTTTCATATTAAATACCTCAGGCATACAGGCTTTATTGTCTGTGATCAACTTCACACACACTGATGTCATTGTTGTGAAGCCAAATCAAGTCACGAAACCAGGCTTTTGATAAGAAAAAAAAGGGCTATCCAATATTCTGTGAGAAATATAAACAAGAAGACCTTGAAATGAATCTTTATGCTAATGCTTTTCTCTTTATGTTTGTTAAACAATAATTCAGACAGAAACATAGGGGCCTGCCAAGAGCACTATCTTACAGACCTTACAACTGCAGCCAGCGGCTCCTGTTTGGAGGTCTGTGTTGCCAGGGTTTAGCAGCGCGCCTCTCCAAAGCTTGAAGCATGGCGGAAGCATATCGAATGGTTAATCACTGATTCAGGCCTGAAGAAATAAGAACAACAGCTTGGCATAACCATTACAATGAGCAGAGAACTGTGAAGAATTAATATTTAAGCATTTGGTTTATTAAGATGAAACAAAAGTTCAGGGCTTAGAATCGGAGTGAAACCTCCTAACTCTCAGGCACATACATGGCAACCACAGCACACAGTACATTTGACCTCTGCATTTAACCCATCCTAAGTACTAAGGAGCAGTTGTTTTTAGTACAGAAGAGAGTAGTTTTAGTAAGAAAAAAAAAATGAAGAATTTCAAGATGCGGTGTTGATCCGCGATGCGTAAATCAGGGGAACAAAAAACACTGCATGTCAGCGAGTCATATTAGGCGGGCGCTGGAAGCATTTGAAAAATGTTACTACAGTTGTCATGTCAACATGCTGTATAACCAGGGGTGCACACAACTTTCTCAGTGAGGTAACTCAGATGAGTACCTGGGTCAGTGTTGGTACTCCCAACTTTCTGGCTCCGCCTCAAACTTCCCATGAGCGCTCCTGTATGCCGCGAATGTCAAGGGGAGGGTGGTGGTAGTGAGTGCAGAGCGTTGTGACCACAGAACGCGTGTGAACATTGATCAGCTGTTTTAGGCGCGTGGCTGCTGTAGCAGACCCGACGGTACGCAGCAGCCCCTGTCTGTGGCAAACGGAAGGCCAATCTGTCGTCCGGTGATCTAACCGCCTTCTGAAAAGCTTCACAAGTAGCTCTGGTACGCTAATCGCGCTTGAGACAGCAAGTGACGGTACGGCATTTCAGATTGTTGCCGGCGGCGACTTTACGTTTATTTTGCGACGTTTAGGTCTGTCCTTCTTGGGTGTTCCGTTGCTGCGTACCTTCGTAGCCAGCTTATGTGCACCCTGTGTAGTAACTTGATAAACAACCAGGCCCATGGATATGTCTAAATACAGTGAAGTACAATTTTACATTTACGATTTTTTTGGTCCGATGTCTTCGGGACATTTAAAAAAAAGGATTTATTTTTCAAATCAACAGTTGGGCATTGATGGAAGTTACTTAGTAGCATGACTGCAGGACTGTATTACACCATTCGAGGGACTTTAACGCAGAGTATTTTTATTTTAGCACTACTTTATACTCTACTCCACTACAGTTTTGGAGGGCAGATTTTTTGTTCAAATACATTTTCCGCAACAATACTATACAATACTCTTACTTAAAAGGCATTCACTTAACTTGAAATTGATATTTACAGTGTGCGTATTAGTGCTTTTACTCAAAATAAAGAATTCTGACTCTTTTTCCACCACTGTCAGTTTGAAACGCCTACAGGCCCCGAGGGCAATCATTTTCTAGCGGCCGTGCGTAGGATTTACACCCGTGGGAAGGTTGCAATAAGTAGCTAGAAATAAAAAAAATGAGGTACAGACATTTTCGCGATTCACAAAACATTGCGTACGCGGCCGAGGAAAGTGGCATATAAGCCACTTCGCTACTCCCGGTTTCCCTTTAATAAATCACCAATCAATCGAAATGCCGGTGCAGGGCTTTTGCGGGCTTACGTAACGCCCATAATTTGCCAATAATAGTCAAAAGAAACGCGCCTTTCATTCATTCATTTTGATTAGACCGCATGAGAGAAGATCGCAGGAAATAGACGACAGTAAACAGTAAAAAAGACATTCTCCACACCGTGTCAGGATTTTGGTTATTTGGATGGTCCTCGGATAAGAATCATGGGATGTTTGGTGGAGTTGAACGCAGAGTAGGCAGCATGGAGGTCGGATCGTCACCTATAATAAATACAAGTGGGTCCCAATAAAGTTCTAATGACAAAATAAAATACACAGCCTTCCTCCAAGGCGCCAGTGTGTTTGTACCGGGGGGAAAGGAGACCGGCCCTTGAGGAGAAACTAAGCATGATCCGGGAATCCCTCCGAGGGAGTCATGACGACTGGATCTGAATTATTTGTTTGGATTTGGTGTTTGTGTTTTCAGACTTGTTGATCAGGCAACTATATATTCCCATAATCCCACCAGTTTAAAGGAAAATAGCCTAATTGTGTTGTGTATATATAGTACTTCAGCTGTACAATTTTACTCAACATATGTGTGTTCTAAGTTCCATACCTCCTGTGTTTTTACGAGCGCCTATCAAAGCTTGGCCAACCGGCATAAAATGATTAGACATGATGTATATAAACCATGCTCGGTATCTACACCTATAGAAATGGCAACCGGCGTCAGTGGTTTAGACGTATTATGTCGCTCTTGCTTACTGCATCATTTTGAGAAAACATTTCTTAACATATACACAACATATTTCGAGGTGGTTGTAAATGACCATATCCGTATTTATTTATTTCTCCAGTTATGTTTTTGGGTGCACCTGGAGGGTCTCAAACAGGCATTTGTTCTAATCATATTTAAGATTGGGCTTTAATCAATTTTGTGGAAAAATAATTCTTCATAATATCGATACAAGTGATGATAACCATTTTATTATGGTATTATTTTCCACATATTTCCTCCCATTCTTCTTCTGCCAACGTGTCGCCAGTTCGCGTCCTCTCCGCGTTTTAGATGCTTAGTGAGCAGCATCGGATTCAGAGTTTGCGTG